GCTTAAAACAGAGTATTTCAAAATTGGACGAGCTCTTACTGGTTGAAATATTTCCTAAAATATCAAAACAAACCACTTTATGATCAAGTTTTGAACTTGTGGCAGTTCAAAATGAAACTTTCTGCAAAACTTTATTGTTTACAATAAAGAAAATTTGCCAATCCACCAAACACTTGGTAGCCAGTAAATGTGAACTAAATCCTATGTTTATGTCTGCCTTCCACCTCTTCATAAAAATGGAAAATAATAAATTGCTAGTATTACCCTTGCTCCTGTGGTTACCATAATAGAAACATTTTCATCTTCAAGAGTTTCTAAAAACTTTTGTGCTAGCTTTTGGACTGTATTGTGCCAACAGGCTTCTCTAATGAGGGATTGAAGTTAGGAGGTGGGGAAATCAAACTTCCCTTCCACTAAAAGCACAGACTATTCCTTTAGTAGCTATAGCACTTAGACTTATATACCGCTTCATAGTGCTTTACAGCTTTTTCTAAGCAGTTTACAGAGTCAGCATATTGCCCCCAAACTATCTGGATCCTCATTTTACCAACCTCAGAAGGATGGAAGGCTGAGTCAATCTTAAATTGGTGAGAATCGAACTGCTGGCAGTCAGCAGAAATAGCCTGCAATACTGCAGATTATTTCTAACCTAAGCCGCTACCATGGCTCCTTAGTACAAGGCAATCATATATTGTTCTTTCATGACAAGTATTTGCTCTCCAGAAACAAAATTTATTGATCCTTTAGAATGGATGGTCCTACTATCAAATGGTTCCCCAAGTTGGCTGAATAATCATAGCCAATCCATAGTCCTAAATGGGTCTATTTCAACACTGAGGGAGATAATCAGTGGGGTAACTAAAGATTCTGGCCTGGACCCAGTATTCTTCAACAACGTCCTAAATTATTTAAGTGAGGTGATAGAAGGGAAACTTATAAAATGTGTGGATGACACAAAGCTTGAGATACTTCTACATCTCAGAAGACAGGTTCTAATTCAAAAGGATTTTGATAGACTTGAATACTGGCCTTACTCAACAAAATGTTCTTCAGAGGTGAAAAATGAAAAGTTCTCCCCTTAGGCAAGAAATAAAAAAACAGATGCATAGGTACAAGATCCCTGGTGGCACAGTTCTTAAAAATAAAATATTGCAGGCAAACTCTGCCCACAGACAGGACTTTGATCATGATGGGCTCAAGATTGGCTCAGCCTTCCATCCTTCCGAGGTCAGTAAAATGACCACCCAGATTGTTTGGGGCAATATGCTGACATTGTAAACTGCCCAGAGAGTATAAAGCTCTATGGAATATTATATAAGTCAAAGTGCTATTGCTCTTTCCGACCATTGCACTTCTACTTTCCTTTCTAGAATCTATGCAACGTCTTCAATATTCTTAGAATTCCTTCTGTAAAAAGGTATCTGATCACATCCCAGAACCAAACCTGGCTACCTGTCTCAGGTTTTCAAAACTTTCTACTAACCACACTGAATGTATCCATTGTAATGTCTACTTCAAAATGCCTTTGGTTGTGAAATCCATCTTTGCCATGGCTCATTCACAAAGTTAGAAACTCTGTTTAAGACCCGCAGGTTACATTCCTGAGATATCCCATGCAATATTAAAGCCATTCTCTTTGGGGTTCTCTCTGCAGATAAAGCTAAGTCCATGCCCCAGTAGATATTTTTTAATTATTAAATTTATATGCCACCCTTCTCAGTATCCAAAGTGACTCCGGGCAGCTTACAATTCAGTAATTCCCTGTGCACAGTCACTCATGCCCTCGTCACCTCTCGCCTTGACTACTGCAACGCTCTCTACATGGGGCTCCCCTTGAGGAGCACCCGGAGGCTCCAACTGGTCCAGAACGCAGCAGCGCGGGTAGTGACGGGAGCAGCATGGCGCTCCATTGTAACACCGCTCCTGCGCGAGCTGCACTGGCTCCCAGTGGTCTTCCGGGTGCGCTTCAAGGTGTTGGTTATCACCTTTAAAGCGCTCCATGGCATAGGGCCTAGCTATCTTCGAGACCGCCTGCTGCCACCGACGACCTCCCATCGACCCGTGCGCTCCCACAGAGAGGGCCTCCTCGGGGTGCCATCAGCCAAACAGTGCAGGCTGGTGACCCCCAGGGGGAGGGCCTTCTCTGTGGGGGCACCTACCCTCTGGAATCAATTGCCTCCAGAGATAAGGAGAATCCAATATCTCAGTGCCTTCCACCATGCCCTTAAAACCTTCCTTTTCCAGCAAGCCGGGCTGGCCTAATTTTTTTAAGTGTTTTTAAGTGTTTTGTTTATTGTTTTTAATTAATGGGGCCAAATTTATATATATATATATATTAACTGTATTTTAATATTTGTACTTGATGTTTTTACTTGGCTGTTCACCGCCCTGAGTCCTCAGGGAGAAGGGCGGTATACAAATTCAAAATAAAATAAAATAAATAAAAATAAAATAAATAAAAATATGAAAACAACAGCAAATATACTGCTAGTCAACCTGGCAGCTTTAAACATATTACATTATCATTTCTGGAATTCCCAGCCAGCATGAGCAGAGCTTCCAACACATTTTGAGACCAATATGCAATATATTCAGTAACATTTTGAGGGTGGTAGTCCAGCACATCTGGAAAGCATCAGATTAGGGAAAGTTGGGTTAAATGAGAAATATATGCAAACGTGCTTATTAACAGAAAGTTTTTTAAGTGCAATTTTAAAGACAGACTGAATGACATTTCAATGACAGAAATGTCAAGAAAAGAAAGGGAAGAATCAAGAACAAGGTTTCTGCGATAAATCTGGCTATGTCAGCAAAAATGCAAAAACATCAGTGGGTAGCCAGGCCGAAAAAGCAAGGGTCTTGGGGAATAATGATCTGGCAAAAGCATGGAGTAACACATCATTCCCTCTTCTTTGACTTTGTGCATCCACACACATCCACACATACAGTATATATATATATACATATACAATACAGATTGCAGCATGCATGAAAGACCAGAATCAGGCAATTTGTTCTCAGAAAACTATGTGATCTTAGCATTTGCATATACACCCTTAACAAGGACATATAAGAAGAAAGTATCAGATGGAAGAGAGAAAACACAATTGTGCCCTAGTCAATGAGGTAGCTCTTGTATTATCTTCTAAACTGAGCCACTACATTGTTCAGGCATCCACCACCAAGAGAATGCAGCCAGGTACCTCTACTTCAGAGTTATGCAATTACTGTATCATTATCCTGAAGATCTTACCCAGGATTTGGTTCTGGGCTTGCTCAAAAATATAGATGGTGCCAGGATATATAAATGGGTGGGGCAGTCAAAAGCTAGCAGGGGGGAAAAATTTAAAATGAAATTAACTTTATTCAGTAAAGATTATTTCTCATATATTAAATGACACATTAAATATTACAATTTGACAGCAACTTCTAGAGGAGACAAGGAATCAGAACAGGGGCTTTAGGAGGCAGCATATATCCCTGCACCTCAGCTTGTACTCTCCTTTACATAAGCTGGAAGCTAAGAAGGTTTAAAAGTGCCTCTGCAGTAGTCTTCTGTAGATACCCATCAGTTTTTAATCAACACTGTAAAAAAAATTGCAGGAAACTGGGCAGCAGGAGTCCAAGCATTCAAAATCCTCTTGTAGCATCAGCTTCTGTGATGGGGCTAAGGAAGTACAAGAAAATAGACTAGGGATGACATGATAGCAGCGTTCCAGTGCCTAAGGGGCTGACACAAAGAAGAGAGGGTCAACATATTCTCCAAAGCACCAGAAGGCAAGAGAAGGAGCAATGGATGGAAACTAATCAAGGAGAGAACCAACCTAGAACTAAGGAGAAATTTCCTGACAATTAGAACAATTAATCAATGGAACGACTTGCCTCCAGAAGCTGTGAGTGCTCCAACACTGGAGGTTTTTAAAAAGAGATTGTAGAACCATTTGGGTGAAATATATAGGGTTCTTGCCTCCAAGCTCCCTTCCAACTCTGTTATTCTGAAATATTTGGATTGAATTTGGTGGACATAGTCTCATACTCTGGGATGTGGTCATCCCAGTTTAACCTCGGCTGTTGCCCCCATTCTAAATCACATCAGATCCTCAACATCTCTTTCTTTTGAGGTTGACGTTGATAAATGCAAGAAACTGCTGTCGTGAATCTGTCTAATCTTTAAGAAGCCATGCAATCCAGCAAAGAGAGAGACAAGAGGACTGATGCTCAAATCAACCTTGAGCCCTCTAGATGGATTTGAATTTGGCCTCTGTACCCAGCACATTAAAGCAGGAAGGTTGTCACGGGGACTAACATAATGCAAAAATGAGAAAGCACTCTTCAGAAGATACATTAAGAGGAGCAACTTGAACAGATGTATTACAGAACGCAGCAGGCAAAGAAGGATTTTCCTGAAGCCCAGTCCATCTTCTCCAAGCATCTTACTGCCTACTTTGAATGAGAAGGATGGACTAATTCTCCGGGTTTGTGCATTTATTTTACAGCTTTGCCCTCACACAAGGAATGATGGATCACCTTAAGCTTTCAAAAGCTTTCTTGCTAACAGAGTGCCTCCTCTGAGTGTATGTGTACATAGGGATGCGGGGGGTGGAACCTAGACAAACCGCCATAACATAAACCAGGAAGGAATTTTTCAAAAGTCCCATTAACTGTTTAAACAATAACTATCAAGCCAAGCACATGGCTCTCTTTGCAACATCTCAGAACAGAAGTGCCCTGAAATAACTTGGAAGGAGAGCTTTGAAATCTGGTGAGAAGTTGGCAAACTGTGCTTGGAACGACGATCGCCCCGATCGCTGTTTTAGAAAGCAACAGAAGTGCAAGGAAGGAGGAAAGGCTAAGCCCCTGAAGCCGCCAGTTCCTCATCCCGGTGCTTTTCAAAGCAGATTCGCATCATCAACCAGAAAGGGGGAAGGGGAAAAAAAAAAAACTAGCCCGAACTACAATGTTGTTGTAAGACAATAAGAGACAGAATAAGCCATCCTTACCTTGGCTTCACATTTCTTGTGACAGGACAGCTTGCAACCTGTGCAGAAACAGAAACAAGGGCAGCAGGGTTGAGGGGAGGGAGGGAAGGAAGGGAAGGAGGGAGGGAGGGAGGGAAGGTATGAAAGAAGAGGGAAATTAAAATCAAAAATCTTGCCTTACCAAACCAAAACATGCAAGAACTGGGAAGAAAAGGGGCCTCACCCAGGAAAAAAAACGGAAGCCTGGGGATGGGGGGAGAGAGCAATCGATGAGCAAATCCCTCCCCCCCACACACACTTCCAATTTACTTTCAAGCCACCAACATCAAGAAGCACAACACAATCACCAACAATAACAAGTCCTTAAAACTATGTTACCAAAGGAGCTGCTTCCAGGGTTGGTGGGGTTTTTTGGGTTTTTTTTTCTTTTGAAGGACTCTCGCACAGCAGTGGCGGGGGGGGAGAGAAGAGCTACATACCGTGTAGCAGCAGGGAGGGAGGGAAGCAGAAAGAAGGGGGGAATTACCCTCTCGGCACGCTGGCACCTAGCCAAGGATAGCCCAGGCTGCACAGGTACAGCCACAGCAGCCAGCCCGCTCCGACAACTCCAATCTTGCAGATAATACTAAGCACATTGTTTGGGAGCTGCCTGCCAGCCCACTGCGCTGTCAGAGGCTGCCCTGAGGCTCTGCATTTTTCTCCTCTTTACACACACCCCTTTCGTGACTAAACTTTACACACACACACACACACGCACACACATATACATATACACACATACACAAGTAGGCTGAGCCCTCCCTCTTTTGGGGAGTCAAGTTTCTAAGTCATTAACTCCAGAAAGAATGTTGAAAATGTACAGGCAATGCTCCCCTCCTTGGGAGGCAGCATCACTTTTCGATTGTATAGATTTGGAACCATACCAGAAAAAGAGAGAGAGAGAGAGAGAGAGAGAGAGAGAGAGAGGAGAGAGGGAAAAAAGAGGGGAATTGTTCTTTGCCTTCTCAAACTCTAGGTTAGAAAACAAAAAGAGATGGCTTACTCAGCCCAATAGTCTCATCTAACTTTGCTTCACTGAAACTATTGTGTAAGCTGGGCAACCAGAAAAGAAATTATATTTTATTACAAAAGTTATTTCTGTTAAAGGAAAAAAGGAGCGGTGATCTAATCTGTATTCTCACAAAAACCCTTATAGATAATGGCTGTTCCTGTATACATATAAGTAAAGAACTTTGAACAAGGAAATAGGTCTGGGTGGGTCAAACAAGCTACAAAAACAACACTCACGTTCTGGAGTCCCAATTTATCTCTTAAATCTTCCATAACCCAAACTGGGAGTTCTAGTTAACACAGGAAATATCGCAGATTTTTTTTATCCTCACCTTCCCCAGCCCTCCCCAATGCTCACAGAAAGCTCTGGACATCAAGAGTTCTCCCACATTCCTCCTGAATGGGAACTGATCGATTGACTTAGTGACAGAATTACAATCCTCGATCAGAAACAGTAGAAAACTCCAAGGGCTCAGTTAACCGTGTGGCTTCAACTTCAGCTAAATTGGATACCCTAATTTACCATAGGAGGAGGGAAAATCATTATTTCATTACTTCAGAAAACCCTATTTAAATCAACAAATATTATTTGTGCTAACCTTTCCAGGCAATGGTCAGACAAAAAGAGCCAAAATATTAGGAACATTAGCTGAGTGACAAGGAGGAATCTCTCTAACAACAATGCATAGCATGACAATGCATGGGCACGCACACACACGCACACAGGCACACACACCCCTCTCATTGTTTGGATTTATGCACATCAAATATGCATTTGATAAAAATCTGCCTTCAGGCAAAGTCAACAGAAGGCCTTGAAGCGGGTGAATTGCACGCAAAGTCCACAGGAAGAATGCCCTCCCCCAAAATCAGGCAGATACATCTTCTACGGGTAGACTTTCTGCCTGGTTTTCAGAGATCTCCTTACCTTACAGGCTGCCTCGCTTCATCCACACCTTAAAGGTGGGTTGAGAAACTTTAGGAAAGGTTTTTCAGGAACCCTTGGAAGCCAGAGGGATTTCACACATTCCTTTCTACCAGTGCAATGCTGGATGCTACTCCAGTTTGAAGGCACTGAGCCAAAAGTTCAAATAAACAAGTTAAACGTTAAAGAACTAAGTACATTTTGGCCAATCCCTGCTAAAGAGAAAACAAGTTTTGTATTGCAAGCTTCCCTGGCATCCACATGCAATATCAACATTGTCAATTCCCGCTACCACCCCTGAACTGGACTGTGCTCAGGGAAGGTCAGCAATGAGGGAAATACAATAGGGTTTTGTCTCATCAAACTTCCTTACGGATTCAGCCTGACAACAAACTTTTCCCATTCATTTTAAGCCATGAAACTGGGGCATGATTATTAATAACCAATATTTCCTATTTCTGTTTATTCCCTTTAACCCAGGGGTCCCCAACCCCCAGGCCATGGTCCACTACCGGGCCTTGAGTGGTTCAGAACCGGGTCGCAGAAGTGGCAGGCGCGTGCATACCTGCATCCCTACTTGCTTGAGAAGCGGGCGAGCCCACACACACATGCTTGCCCATCACTTGCACCAAATCATCCCCTCTCCCGCCCCTTCCCCCCCCCTCCAAGAGTCCGCAAAGCTGGAAAAGTTGAGGAACTCTGCTTTAACAAAACATTGCTCGAAACCTGACGACTGAAATTGACTGCATTTTGTAGAAACTTAGCATAACTAATAAAGGTAGCCCTTGATTTACCACCACGATTGGGATCGACATTTCTGTCACTAAGCCAGAGGGTTGTTAAGTGAGTTGTGCCCAATTCACTGCTGCAGTTGTTGAATGTGGTTGTTAAGTGAATCCAGCTTCCGCATTAATTTTGCTTGTCGGAAGCTGGCTGGGAAGATTGCAAGTTGTGATCACATTACCCCAGGACACTGTAACGTCATGAATAGATAGATGCCAGTTACTAAACACTCAAATGTTGGTCATACTACAATAGTTGTATGTAAAAGGATGCTGCAATAATTATAAGTGACCAATCATAAATCACTTTTTTCAGCATTGTTATCATTTTGAACAGTCGCTAAATAAATGGTTGTAAGTCAAGGACTCAGTGTTGCCCTAGAAGCAATGTCAACAGTTCAAATTATTCTTTTTCTTCACAGCACTAAGTAAACACATTTGTGGCCATGTTGCATTGTGCTTCTATTTTATCTATCTCTATCCAACATCTGTAAAATAGTAGATTGGGGATGACACACTGACATCCCTGGAGGGGATATTGCCAGGATTTTATTTACCGTATTTTTCGGAGTATAAAATGCACCTTTTTGCCCCAAAAAAGAGGGTGAAAATCTATACGCCAAATGTAGCCCCGCCCAGCTTCTCAGGTTTCAGAGGCTGAAAAAAGCATCAGAAAAGAAGCTTCAGAAAAGAAGCCCCCAAACAGAGCTTCAGAGGCTTTTTTTCTGAAGCTCTGTTTCCGAGGCTTTCAGAGGCAGGAAAAGAAGTTTTTTCTGAAATGAAGTTTCAGAAGTTTCGGAGGCAGAAAAAAAAGCAAAAAAAGCAAGGCACAGAGCTCATAACCAAGGAACCTGTTGCTAAAATCCATCTCTGGGGACAGCTGATTGGGGGTATTCCGGGAGGCCGATCCACCTGCCAATCAATTTTTTTCTTATTTTCCTCCCCAAAAAGGTGCATCCCCAATAAGGTGCATCTTATACCCCAGTGCGTCTTATACTCCGAAAAATACAGTATTATCCTTTTTTGTAGGGGAAAGGGAGTTTATAAAATAGGGCATAGCACTGTGAAGTGGTATATAAGTCTAAATGCTATTAACTCTACCAGGATCTTCACAAACCTATTTTACTGCTTCCTTTAAGAAATTGTACTGCCAAAAACTGTTGCCTTGCCATCAAATTTTGATAACACAGTCTAGGATGAGTCTGAGAGACACAAATTGATAGATTGTTCTCTTCAATCATGTAGATGCCACTGTTTGTCAACCTCATGGAAAAGTCAAAAACATATTTTCATCTGAGTTTTATGTGACAAACATCCTTCTAGTTTAAAAATAAAAAAGATTTACAGAGGTCCTCAATATACAGCTAAATATCCATTACTGTGATTTTAAGAAACCTCCTACAATTATGGCCAGATTTGATTTTTCCTTCAATGTCCTTTTTAGCAAACACTAAATTTCAGATATTTACTATTTGATGCCAAATGTTTGATGCCAAATATATGATGTTTCTTGCCAAATATTTGGTCTCACTGACAACTTTCTACTTCTCTATGAAATAAATAACAACAGAGTTTATTCCATACATAGTGACTAAATTAGTAGACCAGCGAAATACTGTGGACATAATATACTTAAGGCTTAAGCAAGGCATTCGACAAAGTAGACCACAACCTACTTCTTGGTAAGCTAGAAAATGTGGGATAGATAGCATCACCACCAGATGGATTCGTAACTGGCTGACAAATCATACTCAACAAGTAATCCTTAACAGGTCTATGTCTACATGGAGGGAAGTAAGCAGTGGGGGTACCACAAGGTTCTGTCTTAGGCCCAGGACTCTTCAATATATTCATAAACGACTTAGATGAGGGAATAGTAGGGGAACTTACCAAATTTGCAGATGATACTAAGCTGGCAGGAATAGCTAACACCCTAGAAGGTAGGCTCAAGATCCAGATGGATCTTGACAGATTTGAACACGGGGCCCTATCTAACAAAATGAAATTCAATGTAGAGAAATTAAAGCCTTAAACTTAGGCAAGAATAACCAAAAGTACACATATAGACCAGGGGTGAAATGCTCCCAGTTCAGACCGGATCGCCCGATCCGGTAGCAATGGCGGCAGGTGGTTCAGAGAACCTGTAGCAAAAATCCCTGCGCCACACCCCCCCCCCCATGCCCAGCTGAGCCTTGCGATCATCAGAGGCTGTTTTTTTTACTTTTAAAAGCATTTTTTCTACAACCTCTTCAGCCGAAAAAATGCTTTTAAAAGTAAAAAAAAAGGCTCTGATGATCGCAAG